ATATATTAAGTGGTTCTGCAATACTGTTGGTCACACGCTGCAGTCTTATACAGCAAATGTAATATTGGCGCAACACAATCATTAGAGTCAAATTACATTAATGAATCAGGCTATTGCATTACAATTGCAGAATGATCAATAGCTGGCTCTCACCTGATCTCATTTTGTCTTTATTTGCTACTGCAAATTTCAAACAGGGCTGCGTTTTCCAAAAGTATCATAAGAGAGATGATGCTTTTGGAAAAGGTACCCCAGAACAATGTTTATCAGAGGACAGAAAAAAAAAACATATGTTTGAGTTATTTCAAAATAAACAAATTGAAATTATAGCCTACATAGTTTGTGCAATTGCATTCATTTAAATTGAACGTTAAAAGATAATCTTGATCACATTCTATTCTGCAATGTTAATATAAATCATACACTGTCAGAATAAAAAGGTTGCATTTTATGCATGCAACAGCCTGTCACTGGCAGTCCCTTATGAAAATCAACCATGGTTTTACTAAAGTGACCGAAGTTAAGCTGTTATGCAAATGACTTTGCATTAAAAAGTTATCATTATCTCTATTTAGATCACGCCCACGCGCTGCTCGCGCTATTGATATTACAAATCTCCATGTGAGACGCGCGACATGTAAACGCCAACATCACCGTAAACAAAGCAGCAACATGTTCATCTTGGATACTTTTCATTTTATGAAGAAGACGCTGAGAGGAATAAGCCTTGTATTTACCTCAGAAGACGCGCTGAGAGGAATAAGCTTTATGTTTACCTCACAAACAGAACGCGAGCGTGGCTAGAGCCAGCGGAGGAGATCTTTCATTCCGAGTAAGTAATGTTTCATATTTGCATTAGATAATGTGTTGTTGTGACATAAACTTGAACACATTTACTAGTTGGACTTTTTCCAAACTATAATTCCAGACTAAATGTGTGAAATCGAGTGCAACATTTTGAAATATATGGCGTGAGGATGATTTTATGTTCTATAAACAATATATAAAAGTATTGTTTAGACGATATAAAAGTAATGTCTAAGAATGTTTAGACCAATCATTACTGTGAAATACTCTGTCTGCAAATATCTGTTTAAACGTGCTTAACAATAATAATTTAGTTTCTCAGATATAGAATGTAATTTTTGTACTGTATGATAATACATAAAAAGCATGTGTGCATTTGTGATATAAAATCACGTGGGCAATATTAGTGATTGCTAATACAGGTGCATCTCAATAAATTAGAATGTCGTGGAAAAGTTAATTTATTTCAGTAATTCAACTCAAATTGTGAAACTCGTGTATTAAATAAATTCAATGCACACAGACTGAAGTAGTTTAAGTCTTTGGTTCTTTTAATTGTGATGATTTTGGCTCACATTTAACAAAAACCCACCAACTCACTATCTCAACAAATTAGAATACTCCATAAGACCAATAAAAAAAAACATTTTTAATGAATTGTTGGCCTTCTGGAAAGTATGTTAATTTACTGTACATGTACTCAGTTTGTTTAATTAGTTAATTTGCTCCCAGGTGTGTCCCATTGGTGTCTGTATTTATAGTGAGTCCCATTCTGAGTTTCTTGGTCCGGAATTGTTTATGTCCCTTCCTTGTGCTACGTGTGATTCCCTGAAGAGACTGTTAAACTCCTTTGTTTTGTACTCCTGGTCTCCTCGTTCCTCCAAATGCACATGTATGGGTGCTGTGGTTAACAGCTGTTATCTGGAATAAATTTAATTTGGATATTTTAACGGTTGTGTATCATTTAGTTATTTTTGCTTTAAGAAATAATTTTGACTCAAATGAACTATGTTCAAAGTATTAATATGTTCATGTTAAAAAAATTAGTTTATAAACTTAATTGGCAGTTGGCTAATTTAAGGAAGTCAGTTTCTAAAAGTGAAATTAGTTAACATGAGTTTTAATTTAGTCCATGGTATCTTTATAGTAAAATACTGTAAACTAGACTACAGTAAATAACTGCACAATTAACAGTAAATTACTGACAACAGTGTTGCCAGTATTTTACCATTAATTTACAGGGCAAGGTTTTAGCGTAGATGTTTGACCTACAGTAACTAGCTGGCAACAGTGTTGCCAGTATATTACTGTAAAAATGCCTGGTAAGATATAACAGTGAACTGAAACCAGTTTTGGAATGGTAATAATACAGAAGGAACACAAGAACAGAAACGTTAAAATACTGATTCTGCTCAGAGTGAACTGATTTTTTTTTTTTTTCGTATTTAAGCCCTGGCTTTCATCGTTCGCAGTACATTCTCGCTATTTTACGTGGCACTATAACACCATTGTAGATCTTGTCTGGGTGTTTAACTGCAGAATGTTAGTCTTTTAGGCTACAGTATTTGCTGTCTAGTCATAACCAATAAAGCATCATGTTTTATAACATTTTGGCCAAATGAAAGGAAAACTGTCAATGGTTTAAAGAAATTAAAGTATTTTTTTTTCAAGTCATATTAAAATGTTTGCTGCAATGTTAAAAAAATATGCTACTATAAAATTGCGATTTTAGGAGAAAAAAAAAAAGATTAAGTCACACATACGTTGCATTTTGCATTTAGAAACCATTTTTAACACTATAAACAGCTATAGGCTATATTTCCCCTCACTACTCAAATTGTCCAAAGTTAACAGTATTCAGGCTATATAAATGTCATGACAAAACAAATTAATTTAAAGTGAAACTGAAGTCCTCTCTCATTCTGCACAAATCCAAATGTTTCTATATTCACCACATATTGGATATACATACTTCACTCGCATTTTCGGCCTAAAACATTATTCACATATTACAGCACAGTGAGCCTGTGGTCACGCTGAATGGTACAGATTTTAATGACACTGGCATGTGTATATATATATATATATATATATATATATATATATTAGGGATGTGCATCTCATGACTCAAGCCGATACGATACGCATCTCGATGCATAGCCAACAATACGATAAATTAAAGATACATATGAAGCAGCTACCGATGCGATGCGATACGATACGATTCACCCCTGTTACGATGCAGTGCGATCCGATTTTGATTCGATCCAATGTGATTCGATGCAATGGAGAAAATATGATCACTTTTAATGCCTCGAAGCCTGTTTCATAAAACAAGTTTACCAAATAAGCCAGGCTTATTTCAGTTAGTTTGACTCATTGTC